GAAATCACAAATCAGCAAAATTGGATGTGCAGGACAGAGAGAGAGAGAGAGAGAGAGAGAGAGAGAGAGAGAGAGTGTTAAAAATCAGCAAATTAGCCTTTCACTTTTATTTGATTTTCGGAAATTAATTTTCCGTTTACAAAAAAAAAAATTTCTTCTTCGTCCAAGCTTTTTTGGCCAATAAACTTGTTTTGTTTTGTTTCATTGAGGTCATCGCTGATTTTTTTTTCCAAACTTCAGGAACGAAAATTGAAAAAATTGAAAATTTTTTTCAAAAAAAAAAATCAATTTCAGAAAGTTTATGGGGAATATAGAAAATAAGACACTGCGGAAAATTTTCTTGGAAATTCTTTGAATCGAACATATGAAAAAGTCATGTGTGTGTGATGTGATGTTTTGATCATAATTTTGATTTTTTTTTGTTTGTTTGGTTTTTTTTCTCTATTTCGATATCGATAACCAAAAAATTGAAAATAAAAAAAATATTTTGCATACATGCAACAAATGTACCTATATGTTTGTTGTTGTAAATGTTTCTACAAATTTTTTATGTAAGTTGTAGTTTTAAAAGTCACAATCAAAAAAAAAATGTCAACAACATCACAAACAATTAGCCGATTGGATACAATTTATCGTAGTATATTGTTATCAAAATTTTTTGTTAAAGGATGGGGTAATCCACAAAATATGAAAAGGTTTGTGTGTTTTTTTTCAATAAGTTCATTTGACAATATTGACAAACATTCGATTCAAAAACAGAATATTTAAATTTCGTAAAATAATATCGAATCGTGAAACATGTCAAAAATTAGTACGATCCGATCATCCAATTTATATTGATCGAAAATTAGAACAAACCGATCAATATTGTTTATATGAAGGTCATTTTTATAGTCCATTAGTTGATTATTTATCGGATTTAGTGCCAAATGAATCACATATTGCCTATTTTCAATTAATTGTGCCTTCATATTGGAATACTAATTATTTAACTAAACAAATTCGTCCACTTTGTGTTCAAATAGCCGGAACTGGTGATCATGTATGTATATCAACTGATGCCTTTTCATTGTTGTTGTTTTTAAACAAAAAAATTTTCAATCAATCAAAAAAAATAGGGATTCTGGCGTCGTCGACATTTTATGGCCAAACCATTGATACGTGATTATGGTATTGGTTCGATTATTTTGGAAAATCCATTCTGTAAGTAAGAAAAGATAAAAAAAACTCAAACTTTTCATTATAACTTTTTCAATTGACTTATTAATTTAGATGGATTACGTAAACCAAATAATCAATCAAGATCTCAATTAAATAATGTATCTGATTTATTTATAATGGGTGGTTGTTTAATACTGGAATCATTAGCATTATTTCATTGGTGTAAACGAATGAATTTTTCACCACTTTGTATAACTGGTATATCAATGGGTGGACATAATGCATCATTAGCAGCAACAAATTGGCATGAACCAATCGGTATTGTACCTTGTTTATCATGGACAACAGCATCTTGTGTATTTACACAAGGTGTTATGTCTGGTTCGATACCATGGAAAATGTTAGAAAAACAATATTTAAATTATCCAGATATTGATCGTATTGAATTACGTAAACAATTGAATTCACCGGAAAAAAATTTCAATGATGAATTATTATTTAATGCTGGCAGAAATTTTGCTAAAAATTTTCAATTTAATTTTAATCAATTTCTTAATGAATTGAATATGAGTCTTTCATCATATTTGGATAAGATAATTAATTTTAAATTTACACAAAATCCTCAACCGCAATCGCAACAACAAAATGGTCAAACTAGTTCAACAACATCGACAACAACAACCGATCAACATGATGCTGCACTATTTATGCGTGGTATTATGGATGAATGTACACATTTAGGAAATTTTTCACCATTAATTGATCCAGAATTAGCAATAATAATTAATGCTCGTCATGATGGTTATGTACCAAGCAAAGGTGTTATACCATTAACAGAAATATGGCCCGGTTCACAGGTACGATATCTTGATCGTGGTCATATTTCAGCAATATTATTTGATAATGATGAATTTCGTCGTGCAATTGCTGATTCAATTGAATTAGCCGCACGGAAATATATGAATATTGATGATATTTTTATTGAACATAAACAACGTTTAGAAAAACAGAAGAAAAAAGAATTTTCCAACGATGATGATAAACGTGACATTTAATTTCAATTTGCCAATAATTTTGATCAAATTTTTCTGTTTTAAACCATGGTCAACAAATTTGTTATGTTTTTTTTGTTGTTGATATTTTTGATTTTCAAATAAATTTTTTGTTTTGTTTTAATGTTTTTTATTCATTCATTTTCTCTCTCGCATTTAAATGGAAAAACAAATTGGAAAATTACAAACGAAGAAATTATGATTCATTACGTGGACTAAATGGATCACTCCATACACGCATATTACCCGGTTGAATTTGTTCACGATCAATTCCTTTACGATTTTCACGTTGTGCTTTTTCTATTTGATTTCATGAAAAAAATGAATACAAGGGAAAAGTGAATTAAAACAATGAAACAAAGAATGAAATTAAGAAAAACTTACGATATTGTTCAATATTTAAATATGGATAGATAAAAATTGGATATAATGCAATCAATACGGTACCAACAAAACCGGTAACAATTAATGCACTTTTATAACCATTACGTGAACGGCTAAATAATGGTATTCGTTTCATGATTATCGTCGTTGTTGTTTTTCGGTTTCAATTTCAAGTTTTTCAGGTAAATTCGTCTACGGCAAAATGGAAATTTCGAAAAACACAGAATTTCGAACTCGAAACAAAAACACCGAAATTCGAACTCGAAACAAACACCGAATTTCGAACGCACTCAGGTGATTCTGTGTTTTGGATAACGGAATCGATGAATGCACCATGCACTTGGCCCAAACAACAACAGAAAACCCGAAACCAAAACAAACAAACTTTGCAAAACAAATCAAAAAAATACTGAGATTTTTTTGAATGAATTTTGTTCGTGCAGTTGTTGTTGGTGGTTGTTTGTTAAGAATATAGAAGATTCTTCTCCTCATATCAGTATTATTTCCAGAAAAAAAATTTTCCTAATTCTTTTTCTAATTGAAAAACACAAACAAAAAATGTTTACAACAAATCGAAAAACATTATTATTTTCATATCAAATTCTCAAATATCGAGCTTCATTTGCATCTTTATTCCATCATCATCATCATCTTGATCATCATCAAAATGGTCGAAAAATTTTAATTTATCATCAACAACATAATCATTATTATCATTGGAATCGTTTTAGGTTGTTGCTTTTTTTCTTTCTTCGAAAACATTTTGATTTCAATTTTTCATTTTTTCATTTTTAGTTTACGATCAATAATCTATGGTAATCCCGGACAAATATCCAATACAAATTTAAATTCAATAATCAATGGAAATGAAGAAGAAGAAGAAAAAAAATTAAAAAATGAAAAACAAAAACAAAAAGATCAATTTATACATGATCATTTAAATTCTAGTCAAGATCCAGGTAGTTCAACAAATATTTCCAATACAAATATGGATACATTACAAATACCTGAACAAGATTTGGTTACAAATGAACCACCACGTGAACATTGGGGTGTTTTAAAAGCAATCATTATTATTATTGCTGGTATTTATTTTGGTGCATGGGTTGCAATGATTGGTGCAAAATTATTAGAAGATTTAGATATTTTTGTACAAGATCATAATGATGATGGTGATGATGATAATTAGATTCGGATAAATGCTTGGATGGATGGATTGAAAGAATGAATGAATGAAAAACGAACAAACGAACAAAAATCCGGTAATCCCCGGTAATTCATTAATTTTTATTAAATCAAAAGAAAAACCGAAAATAGTGTCATCATCATCATCAATTATGATCCTGTCGTCGTCGTCGTCGTTGACAAATAATCTCTTCTTCTTCTTATTTTTCGTTTTCTTCCTATGGATTAATTTTCTCATTTCTTTCGATCATCATTAATTTGGATCACATCTTTTAGCATCACTGAATATCGCGACAAACACATGCGCTCAATACACTTCAGTCATTTCAAATCCAATTCGATTGATTTTGATTTTGATTTTGATTGAAGAATATTATCGAATCTTTGACAAAACTCTTACACACACACTTCTTAAATTGTTCAGTATTATAGATTTTTTGTTTGTTTGTTTGATGATGTTTTTGTTGTTGTTAAAATCAATAAAATTTTTCTTTTTGAAAAAAAATCTGATTTTTATTTGAATTTTTTTCGAACATTTTCTGGAATGGTCGATTCCATTTCGAACACTTTCACTAAAAGGAGGGGGTTATCACCACTGTCCGATTAACTGTCTGTCCGCGGGTGCTGTAATATAATTGGATAATACCACTACCCTCCTTTCACTCACTTACACTCTCTCTTCCTCCCCCCTCTTCGACAAATCATAAACATTCGAATCCGGAACCAAAAAAAAAAAAAAAAAAATCTTTACATCTACCCTATATCCAATAACAAATATTTTTTTTTGTTTATTTTTTCGATTTCAAAACGAAATGATAACTTTATTGAAAAACTTTCGAAAAACAAAAAACAAAACAAAAAAATCCATTAAACTAAAATAACAAACATAATGTGTGTGTGCGCGCGACTTGAATCCGAAAACCCGAAAAAACAAAACGAGAAAAAGAAAAGAAAAAAGGAAGAAACTTTATATTTTTTCTTCAAAGTTTTTGTCATCATCGACATCATCATCATAATAATTCAGATCAGTAGATCTTTGGTTGATGGTAATATGCCTGTCTTTTGTCTTTTATTCTTTTTTTTTTTGCTTAAGTTTTTTCACATCACATCATTATTCGCTCACACAGTTGAGTATGTTTCTAGGTTTCTTTTCTTTCATTCAAAAAAGTGTTTCCTGTTTATTTTGTTTCGTCTATGCGTGCAGATCTTCGTTTTTTTTATGGGCTGCTTTTGGTTGAACAACGAGAGAGAGTCCTAGCCATCCAGTCATCTATTCAGTCATTTGAAAAGCCAGCCTACATAAATTCACAGTGAATTCAGTCAGTCAACCAAAAACCAAACCAAAACAGAACTGAACTGAACTGAACTGAAACGAACTTGAATTGAATGAAAATACCAAACCCGAACCAGCTGCAAATATTTTTTTTTTTTCACTGTTTTACATAGTGGTGGTGATGTGTGTTTTGTGTGACAAATAAACGACGACGACAACGAAAACATTTTTATTCATTTCATTTCATTTCTCAATGTGATGTTTGTTGGTTAAAACAACAGGAATAACTTTTTTTTCATCCAAATGAAGTTTGAGTGAAATTTTTTTCCATGTTTTTTTACATTTTTCAATCACAAAAAACATAATTCTTTTTTTTCAACCAAATTGGTCAATTTCAATTCAAATCATCGAACAACGACAACATTCGAAAAAAAACACCATTAACATCATCATCATCATCATCATCATTTCATCATAATCATCATTATCCTTGATCATATAGTGGTGGTTATTGATGATCATCATCATTCAAAAAAAAAACATTTAATGTTTTTTCAACAACAACAACAACAACAACAAAAAAGTGATGAAATAAAAGAGTTTCATGTTGTTGTTGTTGTTGTCGTCGTCGTTTTTATCATTTTCATTTCCACATGTGATGTGTGTGTGTGTGATGTTTTCTTTTTCTTTGATTTTTGATTGGAAATTACCTTCGATCATCATCATCATCATCATCATCAAAATTACTTTCATCCAGGTAATTTTATTCATTTGATTTTTCTTTTGCCAAAATAAACCAGAAAAAAAGGTCAGTAGATTTATGACCTTTACAGAGAAAAAATCTTAATGATCAGACCACCGGTGATCGACCGGCCCTCACAATTAGACAGCCAAAAAATATCTAATTATCTAATATCACCTGGTTTTCTACTTTCAATCATTGACCACACACACACACACACACACTGATCAATCGATCGATCTATCGACCTACCGACACATATCACTGAAAATGATAATGATGTGATAGGTAAGGTAAAATCTATGTGATATAATAATTAAGAGAAGAAAAAAAAAGATCTTCAAAGACAAACACCACACACACATACCACAGACCACCACCACCACTATTATTTTGATTTTCTCTCATGATTTTATCCATCAAAAACAAAACAAAAAAACCAAATGAATGAATGAATCCATCACATTCATATCAAAAAATGAAAATGGGCTGACTGAAACTAAACTGAAACTGAACATGAAAAACAGAGGCTATACACGAAGAGAAAGAAAAAAAACAAAAAAAAAATCTTTGACAATCACCATTATCATCAAGCCAGAAAGAAAAAGAGAAAAAGAAGAAAATTTCCAAAAAAAATTCACACTGAAAATTTATTCATCCGTATCGCCTCTGTATTATTTTGTTCTTCGTTTCTCTCGCACACATGATTATTATTATGATGATTTTTATTAACTGAAAAAAACAAAACAAAACAAAACAAAACAACAAAAACTCTGGCCTTTTTGTCTTTATCATCATTATAATAATAATGATTTTGTTTGTTTGACTTGTTTATTATGGCTGATGATGATGGTTAAAATGTTCATCATCATCAAATATCATTATCATATCACAACCAAATAACTGGATATTTGTCATCAATATGAATAATCCATATGAATCAATTTTTTGTTTTCTCTGTTTTGTTTTTTTGGTGCTTAGGTTAGGTTAGTTCGTTTTTTTTTAGTCAATGATGGTGTGTTTTATTCAGTGAAGATTTGTGATTTTGTTGTTGTTGTTGTTGATAATGAATATAATTTATTATTATTTTTTCCTTCGTTTCGTTTCGTTTCGTTCGTTTAAAACATGATTTTAAAACAATCAACCAAATCGTAACTTGCAGCAGCAAGCAACTAGCAACCATCATCTACGTCATGACATTCAAATTACAGAAAAAAAAAATTTTCAGTGATTATTATTATAATGATGGTCGTTGTGGAAAAAAGAAGAAAAAAAATTGTCAAATTTAATTAAAATTTTTATTCCTCAAAAACTTCATCTCAGAGAAGATAATCATCATCATCATCGTTTGTTGATTAATTATCGTTTTTTTTTTTGTTTCATCGTTGTTGTCAGATTGAAAAAAAAATTGTCGTCATCCTCATCATCATTGTTGTTGTTGTTAATGTGAATCTTATCAGCAAAATTCGGGTCCATTCATTTACAATTATAAATGTTTTCTGTGTGTTTTTTTTTAAAAAAAAAGGTGAATAGATTTCCTGGAAAGATTTTTTTTTTTTTTTGGTCCGGGAAAGTTCTTCCAATTCGAAGAATCGATTTAAATCAGAATTTAAAATGAAAATCATTTTTCAAAATCAAAAATCAAGCGAAAAAAAAAATCATTGTCAATGACAGTTTAATGAGATTTTGTTTCCATTTTGTTTTGTTTTTTGTTTCATATTTCAACACCCAAATCACCATTGTTTTTTCGATTTACAAAAGTTTTTTCTTCCCATTGTTTTTCTAAACAAAAAAAACCCTCACCTGACATTTTTGTCGTTGATGATGATGATGATCAGTAATGAAAATTTATAGTTATAATAGTGTCCTCGTTTCTACATCAAACTTCATTATACAGCAAAGACTTACCAGAAAAGGTAAAGTTAATCATCATCATCATTATATAATGGATGCTATATTTATAAAGGTCAAATTTGATTTTGATTTTTTCTTTTTTTTTTGTTAAAATTAAATTGCTTCGTGCTTGTCATTATAATGATGATGTTGATGTTGATGATGATGAGAAAAAAGGTGTCAGGTATGTACATCTTCTTTTTTTTGTTCGGTTATTTTTCTATTTGAATTTATTTAAAAAAAAATTCTCATGTCAAAAAAATGAAAATAATGGCCAACCGAAAAAAAAATTCCCATAAATTTTCCTCTTTGAGAAAATTTCCGGTAAAAAAATTTCTCGGAATTTTTTTTGTTTCGAAAGAAAGAAAGAAAGAAAATACCATTAATGGATGTTATTTATTTGTCTGATTCATTCATTCATTCATTGTTGGTGGTGTTGGCCACATCTGTCATCAATGTCCTTGACATTTGACTCTTCATTTAATCATCATCAACAAATCCATTTTCTTTATTTAAAAAAAACATCATTGAGAGAGAACGTAATCTGAGAAAAGAGAAAAACAAAACTGAATAACACTGCGTCTAATCAAAAAACGATTTTGATGATGATGATAATGATGTAACACAGATTTTAATGAATAAATTTTCTTCGTTTTGTTGTTTATGAAAATTCATTAAAAATTCTTCTTGAATTTCTTTCATTTTAAATATTTAAACTTGTAACAAGAAGAAAATTCATTGAAAATTCTCGTATATTTCAAATTTTCATCACATTCTCGACTTTCGTTTACTCTTTTCTGCATGAAATATTGATTTTTTCTTAGTTCAAAAAATATTTTCCTGTTCGAGTTTCATGAAAAAATAGAAAATCTGAACAAAACACCTTTTTTGTTTTCTCTCATTTGTTCTACATTTTATTATTTGTCAATATGTGACAAGAATATTTTTCTTTTTTTTCAATTTTTCTCAATTCCAAAGAAATTTCATGAATTTTACATGAAATTTTTCTCTTGATTTTTCACTATTTACTAACTAACTAGCAATTCTTGAATGAATTCTTGAATGAAATCATTATCAATTTCGAAAGAAAGAAAATGCTATTTGTTTACTACATTCTTTTTATCTTATCTTACGAAACAAACAAACAAACAAACATTCCACAAATTTCCAATACTGTTTTGCTGTTTATTATCAGTTATTTGTAAACAATATATACAAACACTCACTCACTCACTCGAAAACTTTTCTTATTTGCCAAACTTATAATTATTATTATCATTATTATCGGATGTATTTAATTTGAATTTGGATGATATTGATATTGGTTTTTTTTGTTCTGTTGTTGTTTTCATTTCACTTTGACTGTAATCGTTTTCTTTTGTTTTATTCTAATCAAAAATTCCATTGAATTAATTTCCTTCGATAATGATAATAATGATAATAATTTCCGGCAAATTTCTCACACACACAAAACAAAATGACAGGTCTAAAAATGTATCATCATTAACAAATGGTGTTACAAATTTAAAAACAAAATCGATTTATTGATCCTTTTGTGTGTGTGAGTGTGTGTGTGTTGTGTTAAATGATCAATATTTAACGCCCTTGTAATGGAAATTTTTTTCTGTTGTTTTGTTTGTCTATCGACAACCGGATAATCTTCTTCCCACACAGCAACAGCAAATAATCCCCATAAACATTATGTGTTTGTGTGTTTTTACAACGTGTTTCTCTGGCCAGTCAAATCAAATCAATTCAGTTCAATAACATGATTTCAATGTCATCAATAATCTTCATTGACTATTTTTTCTCTTTACTTTTTTCGATTTCAAAAAAGTGACAAAACTAAACTAAACAAAACATTTAGGTCATGACCTATATGAAATTTTCGTTTATTGATTGATTTGATTCGATATTTTTTTTTATTATTTCAAAATGCATAATTGATAAACAGAAGAAGTAAAAGAAGAAGAATCTTTTTTTTCGATTCAAACGAATCGATTCAATTCAAAAAAATAAAAAATAATTTGAGGATCCTGGTGATCATCATCATCATCATCGATTGAATCGATCAATCAATAATGTTCATCCAAGAAAAGCCAGAAAAAAGAAAAATCCATTACCAATCGATTTTTTTCTGGGTGATGATGATGCCTGGTATGAACAAATTTTCTTTCTTTCATTCATTTTTGTCTACAAAATGAATGAATGAAAAAAACCAGCAAAAATTGGATACTTCTGGTGTTTTTTTCATTTCGAAACCAAAAAAAAAAAACTTGTTTTCTTCGGGTTTCCAGCAATGATATCATATGATGATGATGATGGTTATTATGAATAAAAGCATCCCTATTCATTCAATTCGATCTGTTTCTGTTTCTGTTTGTTTGTGTTTGATAAATTGATCAATTTGATTCATTCATTCATTGAAAAATAATGTGTTTTTTGTTGTTTGATAATTTTGAATAGCATTTTTGTAATCAATTTTTGTTTTTAATGGGTGATGTTTTTTGTTTTAAACTTGATGACCGGGATTTTTATTTTTCCTGTTTTCATTTTGCTTTTCGTTGTTTTGGCTGAATGATATATATACCCAAACAAACAAAAAAAGCTATTTTCAAAACATCAAATTTTTTTTCGTTTTTTGTTTGAAAATATCATCATTGTTATGCTCTACTTTTTTTTTGTTGTTGTTGCCAATCTTTTTTGTTTTCATAATGGTAACCAATCATCATCATCATCATCTTTTTTGGGAAACAAAAAAAGTAGATAATTTCCGTGTATATCACATTCAATCAAATAAACAATTGGTTGGCTATTTTAACTCATTCATCATTTTTTTTTGTCTTTTTTTTTCATTTGAACAAAATGTAACAGAAACAGAAACATAAAACTCCCATCATCATTTTTTGATTGGATAATTGATGTTGTTCTTGACTTCTTTTTTTTCCACCACCGACCAACAAAGAAATATTCCAAGATTTTTGTTTTGGGAAATTTCCCAAAAAAATAGTAGTTATTTTTTTTCATATTTCCAACGGAAAAAAAATTTCCTCTAATTTCTTCTCATCATTTCTACTCGTCATCACAAGATTACTATGACAACAACAACAAACACCCAAAACACCAGAAAATAGCAAAAAAACAACAACAACAACAAACAAACAAACAAACAACCAGCGTAATAAAATAAAAATAAAAAAAATGTCATTTTCCTGACTTATATTTTAGGCGCCTAGCAGCCATCATAATCACATTACTGATCATCACTGTCATTCATGATCATCACACACGCACACACACACCGGTCTACTAAAACGACCAAACTGAAAACGACCGACAAAGTCAAAAAAAAATCCAAATCCCCAAATGTAGGTCCTCTCTTGATGATAATGGTTATTATCATCATCATCATCATAGTAATAACAATAAAAAAATAATAACATTTTTCATTTGCACTTTCAATCATCATCGTTATCGTCATTGTTTTTATATTTTCCTCATAAACAACAGTTTTTTCCTCAATGACTTTTTCTTCTTGTTTGTTTGGTTTGTTTGTTTGATACCAGTATTGGTTTGTTTTTTTGGATTAATTTTGATTATTATTATTATTATCAAATAAACAAGCAGAAAAATTGATTGATTGATCGATCGATTGGTAATGAAATTCATTGTCAACACTGCTGTAGTACTGCTGAAAGAAATTGTCGTTTTGAATTTTTGAATGTTTGATTGATTTCCGTTTTTGGTTTTTCTGTTTTGCAAAAAAAAAAAAAATATCAAAACGCCCCGAACTAACCAACTAAAACAAAAACACATCAAAAATGATGACGTGAAACGCCTTATCACAAAAACAAAAAAAATCTATATTTTTTTTCATTACATTCTGTCATTATTACGTGGGAGTTTTTTTTGTTGTAATTTTTGATTTTTGGATTTTTTGTCGTTATCCGTTGTCAAAAAATGTATTCATTGTCAATAATTTTTTGGATTGTGTTAATCGATAATTGATTGATTCTATCTTTTTTTCATTCATTTTTTTCAATCCAGATGCTGAAAATCATTCATTTTCATCAATAATAATTTTTCAACTAAATTGAACTGAACTCAACGGATTTTTCGATTTTCATCATTAAAATATCGTTCGTTCATTGTCGTTATCACCGAATGATAATGACCATCATCACCATCATCATAATGATGACCACCAGGTGAACTGTGTGTTTATTTGTTTTTCAGTTTTTTTTCAATTTTTTTCTTCACTTCTTGTTCAATTTGGGTTGCGTGTTTGTGTGACCTCAATCAATTGTTTTTTTGCTGTTGTTTTGTTTCATCAGATCTCAATAATTGTGTGTGTTGTGTGTGTGGCCAAATCTCTCAAAAAAATTCATTTCATTTTTTTCTTGATTGTTTTTCAATCAAAATCAGAAGAAAATCATTTTGAAAATCCAGATGTTTTTTTATTTGTTTCTCTCGAATGATGGCCAGTAGCAATGAATGATTTTTGATCGAATTTTTTTTTTCAATTTATAAATGAATTCTTCTTCAATATGGATCAACAACAACAACAACAACAATTCGAACAACAACAACAACAATCATCATCATTTGATTTAGAATTTAATAATTGTTCAGGTGATTCAACAACATCAACAATTATTATGAATGAACAAAATGATGATGGATGTGATGATAATGATAATGATAATGATAAACATTCATTAACGGTTGATAATAATAATTTAGATGATATTGAAACAACATCATCATCAACAACAACTGATCAAGATGAACAACAACAACAACAACAACCAAATCAACAATCATTGATTATTGATACATTAACGACAACAACAACAACGCCGACAATAACAACAACAACAACAAATCAAAATGATCAACAGCAATCGATGATGATGGTTAATCCAAAAATATCATCATCAAATCAATCACAACAACAACAACAACAATCAAAATGGCCACCAAAAAGATTACAAAAACAACATTCATATCATGTAACAACATCATCGACAACAAACGATCCAAGCTCAACAATCATACAACGTTTATTGGATAAGATTGAAAATCTTGAATCTGATTGTAAATTGAAAATGATTTTTATTTTCTATTTTCGGGACAAAAAAATTGATTTTTCTTTGCTTTTTTTCCTTTCTTTTTTTTCGTTTGTTTTTTTCTCCGAATATCAAAGTAAATCGTATCAAACAAGAACGTGATCAACTTTATTCTGAAAATGAACGTCTTTGTTTTCATTTACAAATGATTAATGAAGCTGATAAACATCAACAAAGGCAAGTGTTATTTATTACGTGTTCTGTTCTGTTTTGTATCTTGATTTCTGTATCCAAAAAAAATAACAAGAATAAAATCAATCAATTGATTTTTCGCTGAAAAGTTTATTTTGAATGTGAAAAAGTTTTTAGTTGAAAAAAAAATTGTAGCAAAAAATAGAATTCAATTCAAGTGAAAATACTTTTTGTTTCTTCTTCTTCACAATTCATCTGAATAATATTGATTTTTTTTCCTGCTCGCTGACTGACTGACTTGACTGGAATAAAAATCATAAAAAAGTTGACATAAGAATTGAAAACAACAACAACAACATTATCATTGAATTATTCTTTGTTGTTTTTTAGATTTCGATTTCATTTGAAAAAAAAATGTTATCGATCTTTATTATCACGCAATCTTTATCTATGTTTTTCATTTCATTTCATATTGACATAATTGAATGAAAAATGAAAAATTTTCATCTTTTTCGCTTCTCGAATGGATAATAAATTTAATTTTTAAGTTTTTTTTTTGGAACGAAAGAAATTAAGGAATAGCTTTTCTTTTGAAAACTGGATAAGTTGAAAATAAAGTGAGAAAAATGAGAGTAAAGTGTGCAATCAATGGTTAATTTGAATTAATTGATTTTTTTTCCTCGTTTTTTTCCATTGAAAAAAATTTTAGGTCAATTAATGCAAGAAAACAACAGCAACAACAACAATTACAAAAACAACATTCAATATCTGGTTATATTTTTAATGATAATGTTAATAATGGTGATGATGATTATCAATCAACACCAACCAATGGTATATTACATAAACGTCGTCCATTAATGGTAACAAAAACATTGGCAACAACAACAACAACAACAAAAGCAGCTAATCTTTTTGATAATGATGATGGTGATGGTGGTCAATTGGAATCATCATCTATGGTTGTTGATAATGGTGGAGAATGTCAATGTATAAATTCATATGGACAAATTCCATATAGTCGTGTGCCAGTCATTTCATGTGGTGATCAATCTGTTTGGTATGTTGTTTTGATTGAAAAAAAAGAAGTTTTTGCTTTTTACTAAAATAGATTATTCTCTCTATTTTCTGTTTTAACAGTAATTTAACAAATCAGATATCAAATACTCAACTAGTCATTAATCCAAATAATAATAATCCTAATCATCATAATGATAATCCAAATCAAATGATGATGATTCGTGCTGCAACAACAAAAACAAATTTTGCTTGTTCATCATCATCATCATCATTGTCGAATGTTCGACGAAATTCTTCCAAAATTATAGCCATCAATGATAATAATAATGATAATTTAAATTGTTGTCATCAATTAATAAACAACAACAAGGATAATTTAATTAGCAAACAACAAAATTATTTTCCTAATGATGATGATCAAACAATATTGACAATAGCAAAACCAATATTGATTTCAAATGATACAATGGATTCAAATAATCAACAACAACAACAGCAGCAGCAACAATTTTTTTATCAACAAAAATCAAATTTATCATCACCAACGATTATAGGAATGGTCAACGTAACAACACCAACAACAACAACAACAACAACAAATTTAATACGTACACAACGTATAGCCGGTGGTAGTCAAACATCATTATCATCAAATCATTCACAAATAAATATTGGTAGCGGTTGTAGTCAAAATATTAATGATAATAATAATAAATTATCAACAACATCAACATCATCATCACAATATGAATTATCACAACAATTATTAGATAAAAAAGTATCAGCATTAGAAAGAAAATATGGTGGTTTATGTGCACGTGAAGCTGCAATCAAAATACAACGTTCATATCGTTCATATCGTTTACAGAAACGTTTTACATTATTAGCAATACAGGCTATACATTTACAACAACAACAACAACAATTAAAACAACAAAAACAACAAGAAAATAATAATGTTATCATCAATAATAATAATAATAATAATAATGGATATTATTATCATCAACATCATCAAACAAATGTTTTACCAGATTCATATAATAATAATTTAACAAAAACACGATCATCATATTATCAATCATCGAATCCATTATCATTACCATCATCATCAAATATTCATGGGACAAAAATTATCAATGAAAATAATAATAATAATAGCCGACCACGGCCACCATCGATTATTTATAGTCCATCATCGATTGATCATAATAATATTGATAATGGTAATAGTGATATTGGTGATGATAATGGTCATAATGTTGATAGTGTTGTTGTTGATGATGTTGATAATGATAATAATCAATCAAAACAACAATCAATATTATTGATGGATCGTCGTTTAAAGAAAAAACAATCATCATTTTCATCAATATCATCGAATGGTTCAACAGCATCATCAATATCATCTGGTACATCTGGTTTATCTGGTATATCATCAACATCATTACAAGCAATATCATCGGCATCATCATCAACAAAATTTAAATCACAATCAGAACAATCATCAATATCATTATCACAACAACAACAACAACAGCAATCAAAACATCAATCACAATCAAAAATGACAATGATTCAATCTAATCAACAAAATCACCACCATCATCATCATCATCACCAGCATCATTCTCATCATAATATTCAACAACAGCAGCCACAGCAAAAGTTTTTAAATCAAAAACTATCTCAAAATCAATTACAACAACAACAACAGCCGAACAATATTATTACCGATAAAATACGAAATAATGCTGGTGGTGGTAGCATTATAACAACAACAAAACAATTATCGATTGATTTAAATCGTGGTCAACAACAACAATTATCAACATTTTTACCGACACAACTACCACCATCATCATTATCATCAACAACTGTACAACATCAACAACAACAACAAAATTATCATAATAAATCACATGTTGGTGGTGTAGGCAACAATGTTTTATTCTCAAATCAAATACATTATATGAATAATAATAATGATAATAATTCATCATCATTATCAACATCAGAATCTTTATTAAATGTTGTTGGTGGTCATCATAATAATCATCATTATCATCAGAATAATCATCAACATCCGAATAATGTTTTGATAATGAACAATAATGTTACAAATAATCCAACAACAACGGCAACGACAACAACAAATATTGGTACCAATGCTGATATTTATCGTAAACGATTATATCGTGTTGGTTTAAATTTATTCAATAAAACACCATCTGATCGTGGTATTAGTTTTTTAATTGCTAATAATTTTATTGAACAATTTTCGAATAATGTTGAAGAACAAGCACGTTCTGTTGCTATTTTTTTACTTACCCGAAAAGGTGTTTCAAAACAAATGATTGGTGAATATTTAGCCGATAATAATCAATTTAATAAATTAGTATTGAAAGCATTTATTGCTGAAATTAATTTAAACGGTCTGATTGTTGATGAAGCATTACGTTCATTTCAGATGAATTTTCGTTTTCCAGGTATATTTTTTCTTTTTAAATTTGTAATTTCAATTTTATAATTTCATTAATTTCAAATGATATATTCAGGTGAAGCACAAAAAATTGAACGTCTAGTTGAATCATTTGCCGATCGTTATAAAGAATGTAATCCGAATGATGTTTTATCAAGAGATTCAATATTTATATTAGCATTTGCTATTATAATGTTAAATACTGATCTACATAAACCAACAAATATTAAACATCGTATGACACAAGAACAATGGCTTTCAAATTTAAAAGGTGTTTTCAGTGAAGGTGATCTTTCATCACAATTTTTATTAGGTATTTATAAACGTATTAAAAAACAAGAATTACAAACTGGACCTGATCATGTTACACAGGTTCTTAAAGTACAATCAAGTATGTTTAAATTAAAAATTGAATTTTATTTGATCATTGAATAATTCTTTTTTTTTCTTCTTTTTTGGTAATACATAGCTATTGTTGGTAAAGATGTGCCAAATTTATGTTTACCACATCGACGTTTAGTTTGTTATTGTCGTTTATATGAAATTCGTGATGTAAATCGTAAAGAAAAAGTTGGCCAACATCAACGTGATGTATTTTTATTCAATGATTTATTATTAATTACAAAAACAACAAATCGTTCACGTAATAATCAATTAGCTGAATATCAATATCGTTCATCAACATCATTAGATGGTTTACAAGTAAACATATTTGGTAAAGGTTTTTATGCACATGGTATTCGGATTAGTCGTCGTGTTGATCAAAAATGTTTAGCATTATTTAATGCAAGAAATGAATTAGATCAAAGACGTTTTGTTGAAGATTTACGTGAATCTATTGCCGAAATGGATGAAATGGAACAGATTCGTATAACTAAATCTAGTTCATTAGTACAATTAAATGATTTTATGTTAACATCATCAAATAATAACACTGTGGTACCTGTATCGCCATCTATTAATGGTAATGGTAATGATGGTCAATATAATAATTGTAATCGTAAACAATCAATATCAATATCATCATCATCAAATTTACATTCAAGTAATGATAATCTTGGTAATCTAACGACAACAAGCGGTACTAGTATTTGTGGTACAATAACTGATAATGATAATAATGATTATCATCATGAATCATCGATTGGATCAAATGGCCATAGTCTAATTCAACAACAACAACAACAACATTATTATCATCATTCATAATATGAATTTTTTTCTTTCTTCTTCATCCATCAGTCAATTCATCAAATTTTGATCTCATCATCATCATGGATAGAATATTTGTCTTTTTTTCCTTGGAAAATCCGAAAAAAATTGTCCCTTTTGGATTCGGACATGGCTTCCATCAATCATCGGATATTGCCTCATTGAATTTTTGTTTGTTTGTTTGTTTGTTTGTTGAAAATTTTTTTCTGTAAATCATTTCTGATATCATCTCAATCTTAATTGTATAGATAAAACTGAAAAAAACTGCCTGTGATCTTTAAATTCTCTTTATCTCTATATATTTTTTTTCTCTCAATCAATCGATCAATTATAACACTCAATCAATCGATCAATCAATCAAATTCCAAAATATTAGCCGATTTATCATCGTTTTTTTAAAACTATTAGAAAATTTTAAACTGAAATGTTTTAGTATTACATTTTTTTTAAATAAATGAATAAATCATCATTTTTCAATCATTTTTGAATTTGTAAAATTGATGCGCATGCGCAAATGGATAAACACAATAAATCAAGAATCGATCATTATTAATGTCGCAACACAAACTATATTTATTTATATTTATAATTATAATAATTATAATTTTCATTTTTTTGAAATTCATTCAATTATTATTATTATTATTATTCAAATAATAGTAGTCAAATATATAATAGTAGTTATTATAATTATAATTATAATGAATGAATGAATGAATAAGACATTTGTTTTCGTAAGAATAATAATAAGAATAAGAAGAAGAAGAAGAAGGAAAAAAAATCGTATTTTATTGGATGAATAGGTATTTGTATTTTGAAAAAAAGATGTGAAAACAAACCGAAAAGAAACAAAATGATAAAATATTGAATGAATGAAAAAGAAAAGAAAAGAATTGATCCTAAATTCAAATAGTGTAGTGTAATTAGTGTTAAATTGATTGGATGTTGTTTGTCCATTTATATCTGCCCATTGATGATGATGAGAGAGAGAATTAACCCTTTTGGTTGCATTGATTTGTTTGATGAGAAAAAAAAACAGTGTGTGTTTGGGGATGATCTGAATGCCAATCAATTTATAATGCAGATGATGAATTTATATAAATCATGAATTGCAATAATTTTTCAAATAATTAATCAATAATTTTGTTTCATTCAATAATCAATAATAATCGATAATCAAGCAATAATAATTAGCAATTAATAATCAATAATTAATGATTGAAATTTTCAAAATGAAAATGAATAAAGTTTTGTTTGTTGAATGATATAAAGGATTAATGATATAAGATGTTCAAAACCGAATATTCTTATGTATGGACCAGATTTCTTATTCGAACAAAAAAAAATTTGTTGTTTAAAAATAGATAGGAGATAGTAACTGTACAATGTATTCATTTCTGCATCATTTCTTGGTCCAAGCAACAATTTTTTTTTTTTTTTGTTAAACTTTCGATTGATTGATAACATCGAAAAAGAGAAAGTAGATAAAAGTGGGGAAAGATAAACGATATAATGATGATGATGATGATGATAGATTGGCACACGTGTTTTGTTTTCGGTATTTGTTTTGTTTTGTTTGTTTTTTTGATGATAGATAAAATGATGAATGAATGAATGAATGATAATTATTAGTTTTGTATTCGACTACGATAGATGGCGTTAGAGGTTCCAGTTTTTTTCAATATTTTTTGATTCCATTTGATATGATGATAATGATGATTATGAGATGCGTTTCGTTTTTTTTTTGATTTACGAATAATATTCTAAACTGGTTCGGTTGATTTCTTTGACCAAAATTCTTGATGAATCTTATATGTGTCTTGTATTTTTTAAGCCATAGCACCAACCATACTATTAATACCAGATGAACCAAGCATCGATCCAGTTGATGGTAATGTTAAACTAGAAAGACTTGAAGAAGCCGTATGATGATTAGCAGCAGCAGCGGCAGCAGCAGCTGCAGCTGCTGCATTATGACTTGCAGCAGTCATATGATGATGATGATGTGAATGATGTGTCATTGATGTTGGTGTACCAATAAATGGTGAACCAGTCATTGAAATTGGCATATTCATATTCATCGACATATTCATATTCATGTTCATGTTCATATTCATATTCATATTCATATTATTCATTGCAGCAGCAGCAGCGGCAGCTGCTGCTGCTGCAGCCGATGCTGATGATGATGCGGATGCGGATGTTGCCGATGATACGGATGATGGTGTTGTTCCATTTGCAACGGCTGCTGCTGCTACGGCTGAATGTGCATGTTGCATATAATGATTAACAGCTGACATTGCTGACATTGAATTCATTGCTGCGGCTGCTGCTGTTGTCGATGATAATTGTCCATGACCAAATGTTTGACCAAATTTATTATGTTCAATATTATGACCAAATGGTTTTATACAATCAGACATTGATATTAAATTTGTTGTATTATTATTTGATTGTAAACCACCACCACCTAATGATGATGAAACATGTGATAAATTTCCATTATGTCCAATATTCCCACCAACACCACCACCTAAATGATGATGTTGATGTTGATGATGATGATTATGATGACCACCACCACTTAATGATGATCCATGATTATTATTATTACCACCACCACCAATATTTTTTTTCTTTTTTCCTTTTGATGATAATTTACGATTACGTGTTTGTATACCTTCTTTTTTCATTGTTAATGGACGATTTACCTGTTTGGATTTAAGAAAAAGAAAACAGGAAAAAAAAACAAAATTAAATTAACTTATAAAAAACTAAAAAAATAAAAAACCATCAATATTCATAGCACAGCTATTTCCAAATAATCAAAAAAAAGATGCTCTAGTTTCAATCATCATCATCATCAACGGACTATTGATCAGATTTGACAGCTGAAGAAAAAAATCTTCGGGCAATAATCTCCCTTACAAGTTCCAATGAAATGAAAAAAACAGAAATTTCCGCCATTTTTTTTCTCAGATTGATAATATCAACGAAGAAGTGTTAAGGATTTTCTTCAGTTTTTTGGAAACCAGGAAAAAAAGATTTTTATTATTTCATTTCCCACAAACACAGAGAGAGACAGTGTGTGTGTATTCAAATTACGTGAAATGGATGTTCTTCTCCCGAAAAAAGTAATTTTTTTTTTGCTAATTAAAATTATCATTATCTTTGTTTTCAGGTAATGAAAAAACATTATTCATAAAAAAAAGTGTCAAAAGTAAGTAATGGAATTCATCGTTATCAGCAAATTTTTTTCTGGTCGAAACAAAAGAAACCAGAAAGTTTCTGGAATTTTTTTCGTTATTTTCAGGAATAAAAAACCGAGATAAGAATTTTTCATTTTTGCTTTGTACAGAATCATCGCAAGAATCAACCGTCGACCTTCAATTCTACGAAATATTTTTTTCTGGTTTTTTTCTTCATTACATAATTATATTAATTATGTAATTAGCTAAGATTCTATTAACCAATTCTGTTGTTGTTGTTATGATTGATTCATAAATTTTCTCGGAAAAAAAAAGTTTCTCGGGAATTTTCGTTTAGAGACAGACAGAGAGAAAGTAAGATTATAAACCCAAAATTGATGTTCACAGAAAAAAAAATTAATTAAATTTAAGAGTTGGTTTACACACACACACAGCAAACACACCAAACACCGAAATGAAATTCAAAAAAAAAAAATCCCGACCCGTCAGGCAAATTGAATCCAGAGACAGCCAGCCAGAATCAAATTGACAACAAGCATAGTGCGCGTGCTGCATGATGTTTCGTTTTGTTTCGTGTTTTTCCATGGAAACACGTTTTATTAGCTAAATTAAAAAATGTTTTCAAAGTTTTTTAAAAAAAAAAATTCAACATTTTTTTTCTTTCTTAATTATGTAATTGGAGAAATCTGGTTTATGTTATATATGTGTGTTTGGGTTATTAAAATAATGAAATTTTTGTTTGCTTTCTGAGAAAAGTTTCCCAAAAACCAATTTTTTCCCGGGAAAATTTCTCTTCAAATAATAACGAAAAAATGATTATGACCATCATGATGATCAGAAATAGGAATTTTCTTGTTTTTTGGCATTTTTCTACGGTTCAAACCCAAAATCAAAAATCTGTCAATCATAACAAACGTCATTGGTGGTTGGTTGGTTGGTGTTAAAACAATGGTCATTTCTTTTGGCAAAAACCAAAAAATTGTTTCACCACAAACAATTACGGAGTGATTGATTGATTGAGAGAATCGTAATCACTTGTCATTTGAAAACCAAAAAGTCGGTCACATCAAATCAAATCAAATTATCGAATCAGATTTGATCTGATCTGATAAGAAATCAAAAATCATTTATACGGTAGCCGTAATACCACCACCATCAATAAAGAAAAGAAAAGACCACCACCACCTTTGTTTAACTTTTTCAAAAAAAAAAAAAAAAAAAATTTAACCAAAAAATTAGCTTGATCGACTGAAATAAAAATGATTCGATTCTGGATGATTGA